GATTTAATTTCAACCCGTCGGTTCTGGTCCGACCTTCTGGGGCGACAGAAAACAACATGACCAGACCCACTTTCTAAAAACGCTCGGCGAGCCCCAGGAAAGGTGTTGGCAAGGTGCCGTGGGCACCCCGTTGGGGACCCCTGCTCTATCCACACAACAGAGCACATTGTGCATGCTCAACAGGGGGCGCTGGAGGGCATCTAGACCAGAAGCCCCTAAAGACTGGAGACAACCCTGAAAGAACAATCTGTGTGTCTGTGTGTGTGTGTGTGTGTGTGTTGCTGGGTGTGTGTTGCTGGGTGTGAGAGAGGGAGAAGGCACAGCAATGTCCCAAATAAATATCTTTCTCTGGAGACCATCCACACTTTCCTCTGTGAATCTTCCTGATCTGGCAGGCTCCGAGGGGGAGCGGACCCTCATCCAGTGTTCCCTCTAAGCTGAGTTAGTGTGGGCTAGCTCACACTTTTTTAGCCCCCGGCTCACACATATGTTGTTTTTTTGAGCTGCGGTGGCTCAAGTGGTTAAGACGCTGAACTGCAGGCTGTGGGAGGTCGGTAGTTCAGCACTTTGAGACCCGAGTGTGCCTCATGACGGAGTGAGCTCCCATCTCTAGTTCCAGCTCCTGCCAACCTAGCAGTTCGAAAGCAAGAAATTGCATATAGATAAATAGGTACTGCTTCGGTGGGAAGGGAACAGCGTTCCGTGCGCCTTGGTGTTTAGTCATGCCGGCCACATGACCATGGAAACGTCTTTGGACAGCGCTGGCTCTTCGGCTTTGAAACAAAGATGAGCACCGCAACCCTAGAGTCGGACTCGACTGGCTTTCGAGCAAGGGAACCTTTACCTTTTTTACACACATTTTTGTCTTGGCTCAGGAAGGAGGGCTCCGGAACACACTGACTTATGCAGTAGACAAATCGCTCGCTCACAACTTTAATCTCAGTAGCTCGCAAGCGTAGAGGGAGCGCTGCTACCAAGGCAGAATTTCTGCTCACAAGACTCCACAGCGTAGAGGGAACGATGCCCTCATCCAGAGGGATCCGCTGTGCTGAATCACACCCGGCAGATGCATTCCTTCCCACCTCGTTCCTGGAAGTCTGGCCAAACGGCGCCTAGTCCGGCTGCCACACCCTGGGGGGGCACCGGAGAATCCCAGGTTCCCTCCCAAAGCCACTACAGACGTCTTGGTGGATCAGACCAAACGTCCATCTCTCCCCTTTCCCACCAGCCGAAAGCCTCTGGAAAGATCACGGGCCGGGCATCAGCAGGATCGGTTCTCCAGCCGAGCCACCGCTTGGGGTGGTGGGGTGGAGAGGGTGTTGATGCCTCAGTGGGGGTGGGGGTGGCTGGCCTGGCATCTTCTCCCGGGCCCATGGTATCACCTGCTGCCGCAAGGCTTGGGCCCAGCTTCCTCGGAGCAACAAAATACCTTGGAACAGCCCCAGGTCGGAGGGGCAATTGAAGAAGAGGAGATTGGATTTCTACCCCGCCCTTCACTGCCCAACAGAGTCTCCGAGCGGCTTCCAAACTCCTTTCCCTCCCCCTCCCCACAACAGACACCCTGGGAGGTAGGTGGGGCTGAGAGAGCTCTGACAGAATCTGCTCTTTTTCAAGAACAGCTCTTGTCAGAACTATGAAGAAGAAGAAGAAGAAGAAGAGGAGGAAGAGATTGGATTTCTACCCCATGGCCCTTCACTACCCAAAGGTGTCTCAGAGCGGCTTACAAACTCCTTTCCCTTCCCCTCCCCACAACAGACACCCTGTGAGGGAGGCAGGGCTGAGAGAGCTTGGACAGAAACTGCTCTTTTTTCAAGGACAGCTCTTATCAGAACTATGAAGAAGAAGATTAATCCAGTCCAGCATCCTGCCTCACACAGTGTCCAACCAATTCCTCTGGAGGTCTAACAACAGGGCACAGAGGCGGGCCTTCATAAGCGCATCAGAAGAGCCCAGTTGGATCAGGCCAGTGACGGTCTATCTAGCCCAGCATCCCGTCTCACACTGTGTCCAACCACTTCCTCTGGAGATCCAGCAACAGAGCTACTGGCATTAAAGTTGTGAGCAAGCGATTTGGCTGCTGAATCAGTTAGTTTGCTATGGAGCTGTCCTTTCTGAGCTAAGACAAAAATGTGTGAGCCGGAGGCTAAGAAACTGTGAGCTAGCTTACACTAACTCAGCTTAGAGGGAACACTACCTGTGAGGTGGGTGGGGCTGAGAGAGCTCTCGACAGAAACTGCTCTTTTTCAAGAACAGCTCTTATCAGAACTACGGCTTGCCCTTCCCCAGACAGAGACTGCTGGGGTACATGGAAGCTCCATTCCGGTATCATAGGGAGCAGCCATCGATAGGCCTGTGCCTTTTCTTAAAACCACTCCCATTGGGATGGGGTTGGCGTGGGAGGCAATTCCTTGGCTGTGGTTCAGCACCTCGGAGCAAGCGGAATACCTCAGCCCAAGGTGAGGACGTGGCTCCTAGGGACTCTTTCACGGGTGAATTCAGAGCAAGGTGTTGCAGCATCGCCCTGAAATATGAACAGAGATGGACTCGGGGTGTGTGTGGAGGAAACAGCCTGGAAAAAGGCCCTCCCCTGAAAGAGGGAGCAAGAACCAGCCGAAAAGCCCCCTGGGGCTCGGCCAGGTATCTCCTTCGCCACGTGGTGCTCAGCCACGTGCCTCGATCTCTGCCCAGCACAGAGCTGAGCCTACCGGAACACCTTGTTCCCCATCCAGCACAGGGTTCGGGCTGCCGTTTACTGGGAGCCAGAGTGGCCCAATTTGGGGGGGGGCGTCTCTCCGGGCCATAAGTATACCAGCACTTGCTCCCTAGAGGCAGACATTGCTAAGAGGTGGGACGTAAGAAGAGCCCTGCTGGATCAGGCCAGTGAGGGTCCATCGAGTCCAGCATCCTGTCTCACACAGTGGCCAACCACTTTCTCTGGAGGTCCAACAACAGGACACAGAGGCTGAGACCTTCATAAGAGCATCAGAAGAGCCCTGCTGGATCCATCCAGTCCAGCATCCTGCCTCACCAATTCCTTTGGAGGTCCAACAACAGGACACAGAGGCAGACCTTTATAAGCACATCGGAAGACCCCAGTTGGATCAGGCCAGTGAGGGTCCATCTAGCCCAGCATCCCGTCTCACACTGTGTCCAACCACTTCCTCTGGAGATCCAGCAACAGGACCCAGAGTCTGAGGCCTTCATGAGAACACCAAAAGAGCCCTGCTGGATCAGTCTAGGGGTCCAGCATCCTGCCTCACAGTGTCCAACCACTTCCTCTGGAGGGCCAACAACAGGGCAGAAAGGCTGAGGCCAGTTTGGTGTAGTGGTTAAGTGTGCGGACTCTAATCTGGGAGAACCGGGTTTGATTCCCCACTCCTCCACTTGCACCTGCTGATGTGGCCTTGGGTCAGTCACAAGCTCTGGCACAGCTGTCCTTGAAAAAGAGCAGTTTGTGTCAGAGTTCTCTCAGCCCCACCTCCCTCACACAGGGTGTCTGTTGTGAGGAGGGGAAGGGAAAGGAGTTTGTAAGCCGCTCTGAGACTCCAAGTGAAGGGCGGGGTATAAATCCAATCTCTTCTTCTCTTTTTCTTCTTCATAAGAATGTCAGAAAAGCCCTGCTGGATCAGACCACAGAGGGTCCGTCTAGTCCAGCATCCTGTCTCACACAGGGGCCAACCAGTTCCTCTGGAGGGCCAACAACAGGGCAGAGAGGCCGAGGCCTTCATAAGAACATCAGAAGAGCCCTGCTGGATCAGACCAGTGAGGGTCCATCTAGCCCAGCATCCTGTCTCATACGGTGGCCAAGCAGTTCCTCTGGAGGTCCAACAACAGGGCAGAGAGGCATAATGGCCAATCCACCACTGGACATAAGAACATCAGAACAGTCCTGCTGGATCAGACCAATGGTCCATCCAGTCCAGCATCCTGTCTCAACAAAAAGGCCAACCATTTCCTCTGGAGGGGCAAACTAACAGGGCACAGAGGCGGAGGCCTTCCCCTGATGTTGCCTCCTGGCACGCAGAGGCTTGCTGCCTCTGAACATGGAGGTTTCCTTTAGGCACGATGGCTAGGAGTCACCGATAGACCTCTCCTCCATGAAAGGCTTTCCCTTGCCGTGCCCTGCAAGACGTGAGTCCCGAACTGAAAATATCCCAGGGGTGAGGGTGGGGATTACTCACAGCATGTATGCAATCACCCCCAGCCTCCACATGTCCGTCAGTGTAGTATACTTGCTCGTAGCTGACCACTTCTGGCGACAGGAACTCAGGGGTGCCAAAGTTCACCTTGAGCTTCTCAGTGGGATTGAACCTGGGGAGAGGAGAAAGACGAGTCTGAATCCTTGAAGCGCACAAGCACCCACTCTGGGGAGTGCAACTTTAGACGGGCACTCCGTTCACTAAGTACTGGCATCTGATTTCCCTTTGCTTGGTGTGCCAAATGAAGGGTGCTGCTCCCCAAAGATAGACATTGCTAAGGGGGGGGACATAAGAACATCGCAGTGGCCAACCAGTTCCTCTGGAGGTCCAACAGGGCACAGAGGCCGAGGCCTTCCTAAGAACATAAGAAGAGCCCTGCTGGGTCAGACCAGTGGTCCATCTAGTCCAGCATCCTGTCTCACACAGTGGCCAACCAGTTCCTCTGGAGGTCCAACAGGGCACAGAGGCCGAGGCCTTCCTAAGAACATAAGAAGAGCCCTGCTGGGTCAGACCAGTGGTCCATCTAGTCCAGCATCCTGTCTCACACAGTGGCCAGCCAGTTCCTCTGGAGGGCCAACAACAGGGCAGAGAGGCCAAGGCCTTCCTAAGAACATCAGAAGAGCCCTGCTGGATCGGACCAGTGAGGGTCCATCCAGTCCAGCATCCTGTCTCACACAGTGGCCAACTAGTTCCTCTGGAGGTCCAGCAATAGGGCATAGAGGCTGAGGCCTTCATAACAATATAAGAACAGCCAAATTGAATCAGACCAGTGGTCCATCTAGTCCAGCATCCCATCTCACACAGTGGCTGACCAGCTGCCTCTGGAGGGCCAACCAACAGGGCACAGAGGCCGAGGCCTTCGTAAGAACATAAGAAGACCCCTGCTGGGTCAGACCAGTGGTCCATCTAGCCCAGCATCCTGTCTCACACAGTGGCCAACCATGAAGAGGGTCCTTTCCTCTCCTCCCACCCCCAGGATATGCTAGGTGGAAGGGGAGCAATTTCCTGATCTAAATAGTGGCTCTCCAAGGTCTTAGGTACAAGTCTTTCACATCACCTACTTAATCTCTTTTAACTGGAGATGCCGGAACTTGAACCTGGGACCTTCTGCATGCCAAGCAGAGGCTTTGCCACTTAGTCATGTATACCGACTCAGAGCATTGGCCCATCAAGGTCTGCCTTGTCTTCTCTGACTGGTGGCAGCTCTCCAGGGAACGTTAACATCACCTGATTCTTTTCCCAGGAGACACAGGGGCTCAAACCTGGGGCCTTCTGTATGCAAAGATGGTTCTACCACTGAGCTTTGGCCTCTCCGTATGCAGGATGTGAAGAAATGCATTTTTCCTCCTGGGAGGTTTGCAAAACCTCCACTTTGCATTTTAAAAGTTTTTTTTCCCTCGGGGCAGAGAACAGGCATGGGTAGGAGGAAAGCCTGTGCAATTGCTTTCCAGAAACCTTCATTCAGATGCTAATAGATCTAGCAGGAGAGATAATGGATGGGTTAAGCTGTCCCCTCCTAGCAGGGAACAGAGGTTTGGAGGGATAGAATCCTAGATAATCTCCAGGAAGAAGCATCAGGAAACGCTTCTCTGACCAGGTCTGACCTGGCCAGTGGGTGGAGAAAGAGATATGATAAGAACTCTTTGTCACAGGATGGAAATTGTTCTTTTCCTTGGGTGCTGCATCCATGAATGCACACGGACCTCTCCTTTGACAAGGCAGCCATTGACCATGTGCTCGCCTGAAGAGCTGGAGTAAGCTTCAAGGTAATGCAAACTCTTTAGGAATCCGTGACATCCTAAGCAAAAGGAGCCTGTCTTATTTTAACATTTGATAGGGCATGTGTAGAGAAAGGGACAGAGGATTTGTATTTTTACCTGTTTCTTTTGAATCCCTTGCTCAGTCTGGTGCTGTGCTAAAAATATGCATGTGAACATTTTCTTTTTTAATAAATACTTTATAACTTTGGGATGCTGGCAGGGGTTCTCTGTACCACATAGACCTTCACTGCTTGGACATGCTATTTTAAAATGGAGCACCAGGGGGAAGGCAGGCAGTTGGCAAGCGGCTATCCCTCCAGGGGCGTGCAAGGCAGTGACCTGTCCCTGTGGTGACCAGGCGCTGGGCATGGGAGACACAGAGGCCAGGCCTCAGAACTGGGAAGGGAAGCTGGGAGTTCCGACCCTCGCAGTGGGCAATCCCGTACAGAGGTCAGGTGGTGGGCTACCCTGAGAGTAGAAGAAAACCCCCGCCAGATGTGGAGAAACACCTAGGAGGATAGAGCAGAAATGGGCCCTGCAGACCAGAGCAGGCCCGTTCCGCAACACAGGGTGTTCAGAGAACAAACATGCCTCATGCTTAAATCACCTTCCCCCAAGGTTGTGTCCACCAATAAATCTGAATGTGGGGACGGGGTGGGGGTAGATTTGCAGAGGAGCACTGCAGTGTGTCTGCTGAGGGGCGCGTGCTTAGACCTCCTTACCGACTCTCCCCTGCAAATGCCCACACAGCACACCACTCAGCCTTTCCAGCTCTCCCCTTTAGTCTGGGAGAAGCAAAGCCTGGCATGGATCAGGTTGGCACCGTGCAGGGAGTTACCTTCGGGCAAGTCCAAAGTCAATGATCTTCACCATGTGACCGGTGGCCGTCACACAGAGGATGTTTTCCGGCTGCAGAGGGAGAGAAACAGTTTCCCCTGGTTAGTGGCTCGGAAAGTGCCGTCACGTCGCGGCCAGTTTACGGCGACCCCGTGGGGCGTTCAAGGCGAGAGACGTTCAGAAGTCGCTTGCCGTTGCCTGCCTCTGCGTAGCAACCCTGCACTTCCTTGGAGGTCTCCCATCCGAGGACCAACCAGAGCCGACCCTGCTTCACTTCCGAGATCTGATGAGATCAGGCTAGCTGGGGCTAGCTGGGTCAACACGAGAGATGTTCAGAGGTGCTTTGCCCTTCCTGCCTCTGTACAGAAACCCTGGGCTTCCTCTGTTGATGGGAAGTGGAGAGTTGATGGGAACCGGCACCAGGGTTGCCAATCCCCAGTTGGGGGCAGGGGATCCCCTGGTTTGGAGCCCCTGCCCCCGCTTCAGGGCTGCCAGAAAGCGGGGGGAGGGGAGATGGCCACTCCATTATACCCTACGGAGACCAATCCCCATAGGGTATAACGGAGAATCGATCTGTGGGTATCTGGGGCTCGGGGGGGGACTGTTTTTTGAGGTAGAGGCACCAAATGTTCAACATAGCTGCTGGTGCTTTTCCTAACACCCCCCCCCTTCAAGTTTCAAAAAGATTGGACCAGGGGGTCCAATTCTGTGAGCCCCCAAAAGAAGGTGCCCCCATCCTCCATTATTTCCAATGGAGGGGAAGCATTTCAAAGGAACGAGGTCCCTTTAAATGTGACGTCCAGAACTCCCTTTGGAGTCCAATCGGCTAGTGACATCACAAAAGTGGTGTCACATCCTGGCTCCATCCTCAAAGTCTCCTGGCTCCACCCATCCCCAAAGACCTGGCCACCCTAACCGGCACTCACTTTGGAACTCCCTCGCCTCGCTTTGGAACGGGATCGCCCAGTGAAGGGCACCGGCACTGGGTTCGAGACTGACCAGGGGAAGCGTTCTATACCACGCATCGTGGACTTACGGGACTCCCGGCCACAAGGTGTGGTGACAGCCGGTCGCTTAGATGGCTGCTGCCCGCGCGGGCAAGGCCTCCCCGGCATTTGTACCTTGAGGTCCAGGTGCAGCACGCCCATCTGGTGCATGAAGAGGATCCCGTCGCAGATCTGCCTCACGAAGACCATGCAATCCACCTCGGTCAGCTGGTAGTCCTCGTCAATGATCCGCTCAAAGAGCTCCCCGCCTTCCACGCTGGACAGAGGGGGGACAAGGTGTTAGCTAATGGGGCGAGGCCCCTTTAACTAGGCGAGGTCCCAGGCCCTTCCCGGGATCTTCTCGGGATGATTACATCACCCGGAAGTGATGTCATCTTCCCAGGATGATTACATCACCCGGAAGTGATGTCATTGCACTGCCAACATCAGGGGGGCGATGTTCTAGGTTCTGGGCAAACTCTATGGTTTATTGACCACAAAACCATAGAGTTTGCCCAAAAACTAGGGTGCCACTCCCCTGACAGCGGCAACACAATGATGTCACTTCCGGAATCTTTGATTCCCCCCTTTTCCCTTCATGTCTCTCACTTTGCATGGACCCTGGTCTTTTTGGCCACTGTTGACCCAGAGTGATGGACTGGGAGGGCCATTGGCCTGATCCAACATTGGCTTCTCTTATGTTCTTATAAGAGGGAACTGGATAAACATATGGAGCAGAGGTCCATCGGTGGCTCTTAGCCACAAGGGATAGAGATAGGGACTCTCAGTCTGGGGCAAGGGATGCTTTGTATTCTTGGTGCTTGGGGGGGGGCAACAGTGGGAGGGCTTCTAGTGTCCTGGCCCCACTGGTGGACCTCCTGAGGGCACCTGGTATTTTTGGCCACTGTGTGACAGAGTGTTGGACTGGGTGGGCCACTGACCATCCAACATTGGCTTCTCTTATGTTCTTAAAATAGGGAATTGGAGAAACATATGGAGCAGAGGTCCATCAGTGGCAGCAAGGCCAATGTTGGATCAGGCCAAAGGCCCATCCACTCC